TGTGAATTGTGGTCTTCCTGAGCCTTAAGGTTGGATAGTGTTGTTGTGAATGTTGTGTAGCTGCAGATCAGGTTGTGTAAACTACTGTAGTACTACTTGTGAATGTTGCTACTACTTGTGAATTTGTCATGTGTGAATTTAGGCCATGTTAAAGAGTCTGATCTTCTATGAAATAAATTCATATGCAAGTTTTTTGAACATTTGAAGTGTGAGAATGTCTGAAGAAAGCAAATAGAATAATTATACGTTTGCGTCCATTTGTTCTGATTGCTAGTTAAATTTAGCATTCATTCGACATTCAATGCAGATTTGATGGAAGTGACCATGGGTGACGTCGACGACCAGATGGTGTTGATGATCGACAAGCAAGCTGGAAAGTGGGAAGCCATGGAGCAGGAACAACATGTGTGGAATGCTATCGATGAGCAAAGGAAGTAAGTATCTGGTCCTCCTATGTTTCCCTGTGACATTACTTGTATTCTTTGATTTTTTTTGACCCCCTATGCTTGCGTTACAGATTAGATGGGCAGAAGGAAAAACGAAGGCATAAGGCGACAAAAAGAAAGGCTGGAAGAGAAGAGGAAAGAGAAGAGGAAAGAGAAGAGAGAAGAGAAGAGGAAGAAGCAAGAGAAGAAGGGGGAAAACTAGGAGGAGGAGTTGCAGGGGAAGAGGAAACATGCTCGTTCGATGAACTATTCTAAATTTGTTCAAGAAGCTACAAGAGAGGAGCTATAGGTTATTCTTTTCGGATTCCTCTATTAAACCTCACTCTATAACACAAATATGCTTCTATACCTTCTTGAAATTGATAGCATGTTCTGAATTTCGGTGTTTTATTATCTAGATACGAGATTCTCCGCCTATGACACATAGTCAAAGAGCGGCCAGATCTCCATTGGTAAGTTCACCGGTGGCAAACACGTGGAGATCTTCCCGTGGGCTTCTAGCAAGAGTTGCAGCCTCAAAAAGGGGCAGGTCTCCCTCAATGGGGATTGATAGTTCCCCTTTGGAGAACAGAGAAAAATCCGTCCGTGAGATCACCCTCTATCTTAGGATCCCCTTCTCTGATGACCACTCCATTTGGAGGTTCAAAAATTAATCATCCACGTGGTGAGTTGGCTTTGTTTTTTCTCTCTTGTAATTACACTTCTATGTAATTACAAGTTTAAAATGTTCTTGTGAGTTGACATTTTTTTGCTTGCCAATTAAGAGTCCGCAAGACATGAAGACTAACTTCTGCTGTTTGGAGAGATTTTGAACCAATTTATCGTCATAAGATAATGCTCAGTGCAAGCACTATCATGAAGTGTTTCAATCCGGACGAGATGTTGGCACAAGTGGTGTAAGAAGGCACTTGGCTGCTTGCGAAAAAAGGTCAGATTTACACCTCTTTGTTGAGAAGATGAAGTCCTCGGTTTCATCTCCTGATGCCTCTATGCTTAAGCAATGGAACTTTGATCAAGAAACATCTAGAGATTTGCTTGCCAGAATGATAGTAATGCATGAGTTGCCTTTCTCAAGAGTTGAGTATAGTGGTTTTAGAGACTTTGTGAAAGTTTGAATTCCTTTGTTCAAAAATGTTTCTATAAATACTATTAAAGAGGAGTGCATGAAACACTATAATTTAGAGAGGTTAGTGTTCTCTGAACATTTGAAGAAATACAGTGGTAGAGTTGCTTTAACAGCGGACATGTGGACATCTAATCAGACTTTGTCCTATCTATGCACCACTTGCCATTTGATCACCAACAAATGGATTTTGCAAAAGAGGATCTTCAGTTTTTTTATGGTGGAGACTCCACATAACGGAGTAACAATGTTTAGTGTTTTATTAAAGAGTTTGCAAGATTGTAATATTGAGGACAAAGTCTTTAGTATGACATTAGATAATGCATCAGTTAATGGTACAATGGTCAATCATCTAAGAAAAATATGAACAGCAAGCATATGTTGCCTATTAAAGGTCAATTACTTCATATCCGTTGTGCATGCCATGTGATAAACTTGATTGTCCAAGATGGGTTGAGAACGATGAAAGGTGTGATATATGATATCAAAGAGTGTGTGAAGTACATTAAGAGTTCTCCCTCTCGGTTTGGCAAGTTCAAAGAAGTAGTTGCACAAGTTGGTATCTCTTGCAAACTCCCCTCGGCTGATGTGCCAACACGTTGGAACTCCACCTATGTTATGTTGGAGTCAGTGCTCCCCTTTCGAAGAGCCTTTCATGCTTTGGTGCAAAAGGACACGGATTATTTGTTTTGTCCGTCCTCGGGAGAGTGGAAAAATGTTGAAACCGTTTGTGCTATGTTAAAAGTTTTTCACACAGCCACAAATGTACTTTCT